TGAGTGTGTGTCTGCACGTGTCCGTGTATGTGCCTGAGACCCAACTGCATGCACAGCCTGCGTGCCGCGCGCGAGACACACACACACACACACTTTTTAATCTCTCTCTCCCCATTTCTTCCCTCCCTCTCCCTTTCCCTCTCTCACTCCCCCCTTCTCTTTCCCCTCTCTCCCTCCCTCTCTGTCTCTCTTCCTCCCTCTCCCTCTCTGCCTCCCTCCCTTTCCCTTCCTCCCTCCTTTCCCCTCCCTCGGTCTTTCCCTCCCGCCCTCCCTCGGTGGGGCTAGCTTCCACCTCCCTGGGGTGCCTGGGAGAAGAACATCCCTGCCTTTCCCTTCCACCATTTCCTTCCCTCCTGGGCGGTGCTCCCCGGGGCTTGGTGACAATTCCTTTCTCCGGCCTCTTCCTCTCTCCTTGGAAGAGGGGAGTGGGGAAGGGAGGACCCCAAGCCCTGTGCCCATGATACCATCTGCAGCGAGCGCCTTGGCCCCGTGACACTCATGCCTCCAGCCTTCAGCTGCCCCAGCGCCCAGCTCCAATTACCCCTGGCTGCTGGGGGGAGGGTGGGGAGAATGTGCCATGCCCAGCTGGGGGTGCTCCCAGCTCTGCTTCCTGGGCTACTTGCATTTTCCACTCCCATTCCCGCAGGGAACTGGGTCAGGGGACACAAAGTTCTATGAATTGGCAGGGGAGGAGCTGGGCTTGGGGGAGGGGGGTGACCTCTAGACCTGGGCACCCACCTTGATGCCTGACGGGAGCTGGGCTGGGTTAGGAGGAGGGAGGGTGGAGCAGCAGGTGGGTGAGGTTATGTGGGGGGGAGCACAGTCTTTGATGTTAGTACTGGGCATCTGGCCCAAGTTAAGGCTGCTGTTTATGTCCTTCTGTCTCTGACCTACAGGGGGGAGTTTCCTGTTCTATTCTTTTGGGGGACAGGATCCTTTGTTGATCCAATCCCTTCCACCCCCATTTCCCATTCTCTAGCCTCCAGGGTCCCACAGTGGCTAGGAGATCAGACTTCAGGGTCACTGCCTTTAGGTTCCAGAATCCCATCCCATGGGTGCCCAGAGGGAGCCCACCAAGGAATGCTGCCTCCTGGGCCTCCCTCCCCCCTCCCTCCCTCCCCCTCCCTTCCGCCTGCCAAGCTGGTGCCCGTGTCTGTGTGTACTCCTCTGCCATCTCACACCTGCCAAACAGTGCCTTCCTTCCCGCCTTCCTGGCACTAGGATAGGACTGAGTTGGGTGGGGCAATCCTGCTCAGTCCACACCTGAGAGTAGAACAGGGAGGGCCTGGGAAAGGAAAACAAGGTCCCACCCCTGCGGGACACCTGCCCCTCCATGTGGGGGGCTTGTGTTGCTGCCGCAGCCTCCACCTTCGCCAGACTCCCAGGGACGGTTGGTGCCCGTGGCCGCCCACGGGGGCCCACGCTGGCATGGGCGGCAGTGTCTGCACACGGATGCCTGTGTCTGCCTGTGCATGCCTGTGTGTATGTCTGGGTTCAGTAGTCACCTGGGCCCCTTAGCATCACCCTCTTGACTCCCATGGTATGGGGTCAGCGCATCAATGCCAGATCATTAGGAGTTGGGGGGAGGGGATAGTACCTCCCCCGCCCACCCCCCAGCAGCAGGCAAAGGGGAAGGGGAGAGGGAGGTGTGAACCTACCCACGGCACTATTAATAGCCCACATGCCAGGCCACCAAGAACCAGCTGTCACCGTGGAAACCATTTCTACTCCCCCTCCCCCAGCCTCCATGGGGTGGGACTTAGGCAGGGCATGAATCAACCCCCCCCCCCCACCCATCTTTCTTTGTTACCTTTCTTTCTTTGTCTCCCCCCTCCATTTGGTCTCTCCTCCCCATATCTTGTCCCTCCTCTCTTCCC